TCAGGAGGCATCAGGAAGCATCAGGAACTATCAGGAGGCATCAGGAAGCATCAGGATGCATCAGGAACTATCAGGATCCATCAGGAAGCATCAGGAGGCATCAGGAACTATCAGGATGCATCAGGAAGCATCAGGAGGCATCAGGAACTATCAGGATGCATCGGGAGGCATCAGGAACTATCAGGATGCATCAGGAAGCACCAGGAACTATCAGGAGGCATCAGGAACTATCAGGAGGAATCAGGAACTATCAGGAAGCATCAGGAACTATCAGGATGCATCGGGAGGCATCAGGAACTATCAGGATTCATCAGGAAGCATCAGCTTAAAGAACATTCCATCTCAGTGACACAAATGTAGCCAGAAGTCATTTCCCTCCACTTCCCGGACATAAACACACGTTTGGGCTGGAGTTCTGTTAGCCCCGCCCTCCCAGCAGCCACTGGGGGGCTGTCGCATGGCTGGCTGGCACTGTCCGGTCTCCAGAGACCATCCAGATGTGGATCATCTGCAAACATGTTGAGAAACGAAGGCGGCAGCGGTCCCTCCTTCACAGGACGCGTTCGAGGACCCGTTGGCGGTGCGTTCACTGCCAACAGCTGCTTCTGAGTGAGCTGTGTAATCAAGAGCCCAAAAGTGTCTCCCTCTTTCAAAGTAAAGCAACGTTTTCAGGGGAGAGGGTTAACGGTTTCACAGTCCTTCTGCCTGTTTTGGAAACGTCTGCAGGCACGTTACCAGCAGCTATCACCTTCTTAGAATCACTCCAAATTATTCCACGGCTTTGTTTTGTTTTTTTCTTCTAACATTTTGTGGGCACCACAGATGCACAAGGAGGAAATCAGTACAGGAATTCTCTCTGCACAGGCTTTAATTCGGGCATCTAAGCCAAAGAAAAGGGGCAGAATTCCCCAGCTCCAGAAAAGCCCGTCCGTTCCTGGGATCCTCTTAGCTAACGTTCAATATTTTATGAGCACGTCTGACAAACTCCAGATCCAAAAGCTCCAGAGAGATCACTAAAACTGTTTGAAAAGGCTCATATTTTAAAGTTTCAAACACGAAACTGGAAAGCTTCATCCGTCCTTCAGCTGACAGCTCAAAACAGGACTCACTCCGACCTAAAAGCCTCCTGCATTTCACCGGCTTTGCCTCCAAGTAACTTCTCCCAGATCTACAAACCTCGCATTCGGTAAATTCCTGCTTGGCTTAATTCGATCTGTAGAGCTTGCTGTGATGCGTCTGTGTGGGTTCATCTGACGTCTGGGCAGGATTTCGGGAGAAAGGATTCTGAATTTGTTTAGACCCCCCCCGGCGGCCAAAACCTCCAATCTGGGATCATGTCGGGTCACCAAAACTCACCGGCGTAAACACACGACGGGTTCACTTCAGGAACTCATGTTCGTTTGCTGTTTACACGCTCCGGGTTGTTTGTGACGAGGCAACATGAACCGTGAACGCCGAAGCTAAAGTTTCCACTGCGGTCTGGGGGCCTGGCAGGCCGAGCCCAGAAACGAGCTCAAGTATGAGCAATAAACCTGTTTCCCCTCAGAGGATTAAGCGGTTCTCCGTGCGTCTGCATTTCATTCAGATGAAATGATCTCAGTTTGATACGCGGCTCTGAGCGCCTCCTGGACGTCTACAATCTGAGCCTCGTCCACTTCCCCCACTGGGGGGGGTCCTCTTGATCTGTTGTATTGATAAATCCACTGATACATGGAGAGACTTTCATGTATGAGTCGTTTACCAGTTAACCCCATTCTTTAGTTGGAAACCTGAGAATAAACCAGAGAAGATCAAAAGTATAAAAAATGACATTTATTAGGTCACAGTTAAGTGTATCAGCTGTGCTCTGACAGACTAAAACCTCTCTCTGGGTCTCAGTGGGCAAAGAGCCCTGAGATCTGGGTGATGAGCATTATCTCCTGGGCTCCATCCGCCTCCTCAAAGGAGGACTGGACACAACCAAGTCCTATTGGCCAGTTAGCTCTGGGCAGGAACAGGCCAGGTCCTAATTCATGCAGATGACAGGAATTTGCTAAAAAATGGTGTGTGTAAAAGTGTGTAAAGGTGTGGATCTAATGCAACAGAGAGAGAAAAAGAGAGAAGAGAGAGTCTTTGGACACAGCCAGAGACTTAACACAAAAGTAAATTTGTATTAGGACTACGACAATCAGTAGTTTACATAGATCATGTGATAGCATACAATGCTAAAGTGAGTAATTATAGCCAAAGTCTAACAACAGCAACATAATAGACGCTCAGCCACTTTATAAATAGTCACCCCGAATTCCAACCAAGATAAAGAAACAGGGCCAAATATGGCCCGAAATAGCTTTAAACATCAATAGTTTTAAAGCGTTGGACAAAGTCTGTCAACTATATTGTCCTGTGAAAGGGTATTTTCTCACACAGCAGAATTCCCAGGGTAGTCCCGGAGCAGAAGGGACGTATAGGCCGCCCCGCGTCTCCCCCGGTTGTGTGTGGGAGAAAAGCCCCCATAGGGAGGCGCCCAGAAGGCATTCAAACCAGATGTCCAGGCCTCCTCAGCTCGATCCGGGCCGTCTCTGGATGGCCGTCATTCCACGCTTTCACGAGCGCATTCTCACATGGAAAGGAACCTCAAACGGAAAAACAAAAACAAAAAAGCTAGCAAGACCTAATAAACGTGGGACGAAAACCCGAATACGTGACCGAAAAGTTCAGTTTCATCCCAGTTTTCAGCAGCAGTAAAAC